AAATTAAATCATAATAGGTATTATCATTAATTTTTGTTTTATTTATGTATTTATTATAATTTTTTTTTTATGTATAAGAACTTATGTATGTTCTAATTAATTGTCGCGATATCATAATGCAGGAATCAGGGATCTTCAACCTTTTTTTTTACGGCGGGCCAAATTTGATATACGCTTTGGCATCACGGGCCAACATTTTTAGAGGAATAGATAGGTTATGAAATTGAGAAATAAGATAAATATAATAAATAGATAAGATTTATTTAAAAAAATGTATGTTTATTTATATAATTTTTTTATTTTATAATTCAAAATTTGTTTTATTATGATACGAGTAAGTTACTTAGTGAGACATTTGGAACTGCTTATTTTTTTAAACGTCTTGATAGTTTGCATCAAACTTCGTGGTTCTAATTAACAGCGTAGCTTGTAAATGTTAATTAAGTTAAGTCACTTAAGTTAGTTCTGTACGTAGATTTGACATACTTCATTTTTGAAAACATCTGCACACATAAGTATGTAAAGCTAAATATTGATATCATTATGCGCATGTTTTTTGAGATTTGSAAATGATTCTTCAGGCAACATGGCGTAAAATTGTTGAAGACTAGATTCCTTGAAATTGTCTTTGAAATTGTTGTTTAATATGAGTTCTATAACTTCAAGCTGGAGCTCTGTCAGTAAAGTTTCTATTTTTATGGCAAAAGGATTTTCAAAAATTTGAAACAGTCTTCTGCACTTTCAAAATCTCTAAACCGCTTGTGTAACTGCTCATTCAAGTAGGTGAGAACTACAACAGAAAAATCGGTAGGGAATTCTTCATCATTTTCAAATTTGAATTTGTTGCATGTTGCACTGTTGAGCTAGTAGATTCTGTTTTAATATTTCAAACTTGTCTGATCGAAGTTTACCAGATAGCTTGTTAATTGTTATATGTAGATGTGTGCTTACTTTTATAATGTCTACCAATATTACATTCTTTCATAACAGCAACCTTTTCCTTCAAATAACGCATAAAGCAACATTGTTTTGTTCAATGAATAAATAGTCATTATTCCACTTTTTGTTAAAAACACGGCAATCTGTATCGACTTTCCGTTTTTTACTAAAACTCATATTTATTTTAAAACAGCATAGAGCACTACACTCGATAAGAAACAACACTAAACTTCAATAATCATAAAAACTAATTCTATATTATATACCCAATACTTYACAGTAGACTCGCGCAGTTAGAAATATATTTCATCGATTACAATAAGTTTGATAGCGTTATTATTAGGTACAACAGAAAAAGTCGATCATATCTAATCTGACCATCGCGTAAGTTTTGAGTCAAGTCAGATAAGTGCGATTGACGAGTTTATTTATTATTAGTTAGTGTTACTATGTATGTATATTGTATAACTATTACAAGTTGTTATGAACAACACCAAAAGAAAATATTATAAATGTATTTTATTTAATTCATTAATTCAATAAAAAATAAATTAAAAACAATGAAAATTAATATATAATTTTCAAAACATTAATTAGCTTAGCGGGCCGTAGGTTGGAGACCCCTGATCTAGGCAACAATAGTTTAATACCATGATAAATCACTGCAGAGACTTAATGCTTTCAGAAATATTTAATGCATAGTTAATTAGAATATCTAGAATKTYCTTTAATTAACTTTAAAGTTAATTATTAAATTGCTCAGATGCTTTGGAGTAAGGACATTGTATTTTTACTCACTGAGATTAAATATGATGGAGTTTTGACAATGTTGTCGCACGTCGCCAAATACAAACGCACAGCTGAGTCTGCATAATACACTTTATAAAACGTATTGACGCACATTAAAATGTTAAATTGAATGAAAACACCATAAATTACAAACAAATATTATATGAAATGAATATGCGATAATAACTAATAACAAGAGTTTTTAGTGATTTTTTCACAACAAAAACAATATGGACGACCCCAATAAAAAAAAAGCATTATTGCACACAGAAACAGTGTGACCAAATAATATATATTGTGAACAATTTGATAAATTATAGAACTTTGTTTAATTTTATTGTTCAATAATGTAAAAACACAATTATTTTTAAAACTCTTTACTCTAAACAGAAATTACAAATTCAAAAAAAACGCAGATTTATATTTAGTGTTTACATTAATTGAAGAGTCGATTAATCATCTTTTTCTGAGATCATTATTCATTATAATGATAATAACCTCCACCGAACTGAAATCGACGGTTTGACCACAGATTAGATACAATATTTGACTACAGCAGCCTGCTGCAGCAGCTGAGCTGCTGGAGTCTGGCGATAAGATAATTTCCGACACGGACTARGATATCTTAGTCCGTGCTTCTCAKTGAACCTTCTGGTTATTCTGTGGTAGTGTCTATGACATATGAGCCAACGGCTGCCTCAAGAATAATCTTCGAAAAATGTGATGATAACATAGAATCATAACATGATAACGTTATGTTTTT